CTGCACATTCTTCCCTCAACTTATTTCACCTAAAGGTTAACCAGCCACCCTAACGCTAACCTAACCTCATCTCAAATATTGTTAGGGTGGTTAGTCATGTGAAATAAATTGGGGGCAGAATCTGTAGGTGACCCAATGATACCGAGCAATAAAACAACAAGGGTATTCGTTAATTAAAAGATTATGCTCGTTTAATGAAAGATAAGTTCAACAAGACTCGGAATAAACACAATAATTTGAGCTGGGTAATCAAAACAAACGCCACACGACAACTGCCTATACAAGACTCATAACACTAATCATGGAACTCGACAGTAACTTAAAGTGAAGGGACATTAGGGTGATCAGGTTAAGAGATAAACAGCCATCATGACGAGTCTATTACAACCATTAGACTATAAAACGTCCATAAAGTGATAACATGCGAAAAACATAAACACTTCAAATGGTACGAGCAGAAGAGTTAGCAACGGTACTGGAAAAAAAAAAGACCACGAAACAGTTGAAGCTTATTACGGCCAGGTAGTGATTATAGGGTACACTTGTAAAACCTAGCAAGCAGTAAATATCCATTATGGGAGAACACATAATTATCTCACTCACGACAAGACTAATACCATCCTAGAGTGTTCATAAAACTAATTTTATATTAGACAAAAAAAATGGCGGCGAAACACAAACGGTATTAGATCGCGAGAGGACTATGAGATAGACTTTACAAGAGGCGAATAAGAATTGCAACCTAAGAGTACATTCTCCCGTCAATGGTAAACGATAGCGAAGAAATGCTAAGCGCCAAGAAAAATTATATAAAGGCCAAACAGCAATTGCAACAAATTATTTCCTGTAAGACACCAATGTTAACGATCAGAAAGACCAATATGAGATCAGATCGTATGAAGAAAGAGTACTCACTGGAACGTTGTAAACAAATGACTGTCGCAGTGCTGGGTGGTGTGAGCTCCGGGGTCCATCTTAGTAGTACTAGTGGGATACCCGGGATGTTTTGAGACCCAATAAGGATGTTTTATCAGTTAATAGAGCTGTCTGGCTACTCAGTGAGGATGTATCATTAGATCAATCTGATAATACCGTCAAAGACCACCCCTGGCGGGCGGTCGGTGGTGTACATACGATAAACCCACAACGTTTATGACTTTGTTTACTCATAACTACATGTAATAATCTCTTTATTACTATGAAGATCTAGATTATCATCCAACACACCTGAAAACGAAATTCTCCATCAATTGATCTACTTTGACTAAACGTAAATCCGCCTATAGTAAAGTTGTGAGAGAGGTTAACGTGAAGATTAGGCACGCCCCGCTTATTTCACCTGATGATTAAAGACCCTAATACTAAGCTAACCTAATCCACCCACAGGTAAACGTCGGGGTGTTTGATCATCAGGAGAAATAAGTTAAGATGCCTAGTCTCCAGGTGAGCCACAACAAACACAGATGAAGGGGTCAGGGTTAAGGTCAAGGGTCAGGTGGCTAACCCTAAAAGGTGTCGAGATCGGGGGATATTAAGTCGGTTTTAAGAAATCAATTTACCACGGAGAGGGACACGGGGTCATGTGTTTATGTCGGCGTTGTTAATAGTCAATTCCTCGCGGTCCTTTTCCCTTGTAGTTAACCCCTTTTGAGGACTAAAGGGTTCATTCACCTTCCACAGAGGGTTCAATCATCGTCCTAAAAGGTTCAATCATCGTCCTAAAAACTTAACCATCATTCTAAAAAAAAAAAAAAAATATTTCCTGTATCTTTCTAATCTTGAATGCTTAGTAAACGAACTGGGAGATACTAATGTGTGTGTGTGTGTGTGTGTGTGTGTGTGTGTGTGTGTGTTGCGTAATGTATGCTTATGTATCTGTATTGTGTGCGCGTAAAAGGGAGAGAGAGAGAAAGAAGTGCCCCAGTTTTCTCTCTAGGTAGGTGGGCATCAGTGTGAGCCAGTCATTAGAAAGTTTAGGTCGCCACCATCACTGCTGCCACTATCACTCATCACTACTATCAATATCCTCACTATCACTACTATCAATATCATCACTATCACTCATCACTACTATCAATATCCTCACTATTAATCATCACTACTATCAATATCATCACTACTATCAATATCCTCACTATCACGCATCACTACTATCAATATCCTCACTATCACTCATCACTACTATCAATATCCTCACTATAACTCATCACTACTATCAATATCCTCACTATCACTCATCACTACTATCAATATCCTATCACCATCACTACTATCAATATCCTCACTATCACCATCACTACTATCAATATCCTCACTATCACCATCACTACTATCAATATCCTCACTATCACGCTACTATCAATATCCTCACTATAACTCATCACTACTATCAATATCCTCACTATCACTCATCACTACTATCAATATCATCACTATCAATCATCACTACTATCAATATCCTATCACCATCACTACTATCAATATCCTCACTATCACCATCACTACTATCAATATCCTCACTATCACCATCACTACTATCAATATCCTCACTATCACGCATCACTACTATCAATATCCTCACTATCACCATCACTACTATCAATATCCTCACTATCACTCATCACTACTATCAATATCCTCACTATCACCATCACTACTATCAATATCCTCACTATCACTCATCACTACCACCACTACAAATACCATCGTCAACACCATTACTATCATCATAACCATCCTCACTGCCTTCAACACTAATACCACCACAACCACTATCACCACTACTACCACCACCCAGGTTACAGGTGTCCTGATAATGAACCGGGTGTCACTGACATACTACTACCTGAGCTTTACCTGGCCTCGATTCTGGGGTCTGACACGAAAAAAAACATGTTGATCTTTTGTGTGTACCATAAGTGTGTACCGCCAGAGGTCCTAGACGATACAGCCACATTTTGTACCGCCAATTTACACAAGAAAAGTAAAACAATAAATATTTACCCTGGCTAAGTGTCACCTCACTATGCCACACAACTGGGGACGTGGACGTGAACCCTGGAAGCTGGGAGAATCATACCAGACTATGTGAACCTCAGTTTTCAGTTGAGTGTATCCTGAAGAATATATGGGATTGACGAGCCCGTTCGTGATGGTGATGATGGTAACGGAGGAAGTGATAATGGTGATGGTGGTGATGCTAGTGGTGACGACGGTGACTATCTCCCAGCGTCAGCAACAGGTAGACAGCATTATAACGCCCACGAAGGGAACACAACATCGGCGTATATCATTTACCTTTTACACACCCAGAGTACTCTTCACCCCGCTCTCTATGGCGTCACCCAAGTTACTCTTCACTCCGCCCTCTATCTCGTCACTCAAGGATACACCAAGATTACCACCCTCATCCACACTCGTTTGGATTTAACTGCCATAAAATGTGACTCGTAAAACTGTGACTCTTTCTGCCAGCAAGCAGCCGAGGGGCCATAAGAACCAATTAGTTGCAGGTAGTGAGGCGCTGCGGCTACGTCTCATGTCTGATCAACACTAAATTACTTCATTTTTTATATATTCTCTTCCTATCCATCCGTAGACTAGAACCGTAAAAGTGCCAGCATGAGTATTCAGAATCTTTTGGTGCTCCTCTACATCTTAGAAAACGCGAGTCTTTTGTTGTTGTTTTTTTTAGGTCGATATTGGTAATCTTTTGTGATCCATGTACTATTATCCTGGTGTATACTTCTCGTGTTGAGGTGTGGCTAGAGTGGGGGGGGGAGCCATTTGAGGAGGAGGTGGGGTAGGGAGGGAGGGGATGTGTTTAAGGAGTGGTCAACGTACTGGTAGTTGTTAGGGAGGCAGAACAAGTGGAGACGCTTACCTCCAGGATAGAAGTTAATGAAACTTCCAAATCATTGTGAGGGAAGAACAAAAAAACATGTACCTGAAAACTAGTGTTACCAGTGCCAGTTGCCAGGGTAGATAAGCACTCACATCCACTCCTAAGCCCCACCCTCCATGCACACACACACACACAGTCACTTTAATCCGAAATTACTTCGTTCTATCTCGCGTTAATATTTTTTTTTATGCAAAGCAAATTATGATCACGACTAAACTCACACACAACCTTCCTTACTTCTCACGTTGGCTGCCTAGGTAAGCGAGATCATGACTATCGTACGAAAAGGCTTATTATTATTGTACCTGATAGAGTATGACGAGAGCTGGTCGAACAACGCACAAAACACCTTCGTTTGTCCGGTCGAAGCCTTCACACCGCCAGCATAGTGACCCGCGGGCGTCACTCACCTCCCGGATCACAAGCGCTGCCGTCACTAACTTCATGTATAGTACTTTCTTTTCTCCTGTATGGAAAGTGGGTTACCAGCGGGCGGGGAGGACCACCTGTTGAAGGACCCACCCGCGCCTCCTACACTTGCTCCTCCTACATCCGCGCCTACTACACTCACGCCTCACACACCCACGCCTTCACACACCCACGCCTACACCCTCGGTTCCCACGCCTACAGTACATCTCCCATACCCACACTAAACGTCACCAAGAAGACTTAATAACTCGCATCAAGTGTGGATCTATATTCTACTCCTGCATACGTAGGATTTAGACACTTAAGGAAGGAATTAACCATAATGTAGTTTTCCAGGATCCTCGCTCTCTCTTCAAACCGGGAAACGTGTGGAATTTATTGAAGCTGTGGAAGTCGCATTTGTTCCATGATAACCTGTGACCTGACCTCACTACACCCATACACCACAGGTAAACACCATACATGCCTGTGCTTGTTCACTGGAGGTGCGAAAATAGATAATAGATTCTCGTATTCTTAAGACAGGCAGTGCTTTTACCTAATGGCTGACCAAAGTTGAGGTGGCCATGGCTATACACACTTAATACGTGAATCAATATGTAAGAAATACACACACACACACACACACACACACACACACACACACACACAAGGGCACCCACCCACCTGTTCCTTGAGTCTGCGTTTCCAGGCGACGAGTAGATGTGATTGCGCCTTGTTCCTGTCTCGGAGTTCCGTGAGGGACCGTCGTGCTTCCTCCAGCGTGGCCACCTCCTCCTCCTGCACCGCCTCCAGCACTCCCACGCCCATCTGTGGACACCGACAAGGAAGACACGTGAGAAAAACGTAGGACACACAGGGGTGAGATACAGGGAGTGAAGACAATGCAAGAAAACTGTTTGATAAATTGTGATACATTAATTATAACAAACGAATAAAAGTTATGTAAAGAAAATGGGAGAGAAGTTTTGATAAAAGAATAGAAATATTACATGGGTGTAATTTCATAACTTCATGTTGTAATCTTCATTCTACTCGTATGTTGACATTCGCAGTTATTACCGGCATTATAATTAAATACTGGTAGTAAATTCTGAAAATTGGATAATACCATTGCTGTCATGACTACCACTAGAAATAACTCAAAATAATCACCATCAACCACTGGGACCTTCATTATGTGAAGGATGAAGCACTGGTGTATTTTTCTACTTCAAACAATTTGCTAACTATGTACCAAGATTCTCTTGGTCAATAAAATATATTAAAAAACAACAACATTACAGTGACAGTTGTGTGTGTAAGATTTAAATCACGTAACATTATATAAAAGTTGTTGTCAATCTAGTTAATTATGCTGCTTCAGTGGGTGGCCCGTTATGCTGCTTCAGTGGGCGGCCCGTTATAGTGCTTGAGTAGACGGTTATGCTGCTTGATTGGGCCTCTGCTGCTTGAGTGGGCCGCTATGCTGCTTTAGTGGCTCCTTACTCTACAGGAGTCACAATGCATATGAGGCTAATTACTCTACTTGAGTTGTCCAGCACTACCTGTGTGGCTCATTACGCTACTTGAGTGACGCTGTACACTGTCTGAGTGACTTTACGCTGCTTGAGTGGCTCTGTACACGACTAATCAGAAGAACCTGAAATTACACCATGTTTTCGTGACCCTGTTGACCCTCACCCGCCATTACCTGGGTGAGGCGGGCCGCACACACGCAGGCGCCTCCCCCCATCTGGCTCAGGGGAGACGGGTGCTTGGACCGAATCCCACGACAGGAAACCTTACCAAACTGCCGCTGATGAAAGTCGGATTACCTGGAGATTAGCCCATTAGACCCCATCTTATTTCACCTAATGATTAAAACCCTAACCTAACCTAACACCCCGGGTAGCGTTCGAGTGTTTACTCATCAGGTGAAATAAGCTGAAAGGGCTATTCTTCATGTGAGGCAAAAATCCTACTACAAATGTTAAAGTTGAGAAAATCCCACAAGACAATTATTTTTCACTGACTAAAATACTGAGTTAAAATAATGAATAAAATCCTATGGGTAAAATTCCTATAAGATCACAAAGGTTAAAACCCCAACAACTATTAAAAACCATCAGATGATTTTACCATTAAGAGAAAATTCCACCAGCTGTTTGAAATCGTTAGTTGGTTCAGTTTGGATTATTTACGTCTCGGTTAGGATCTGCCACAGAATGTTACGACATGATAAGATAAGTTAGGTCTACTATGAATGCGGCAGCCACTTTTATTTTGTCGATTAATATATTTTACGTATCTGACAGAACAAACACACACACATTAAAAATAACTGTACGGAACCTCCATAAACTACATATTAAAATCGTGCATGAAACCTCCCTAAAATGTTGCAACAGCCAGCCTCACGGGTTAACACTCTCCCTGCCACCACCAGCACGCCCTCCCGCGGCCCCGCCAGGCAGGCAAGTCGCTCTGCTTGGCACCTGACGCAAGGCTCAGGTGCCCCAGGGGGAGGTGGAGGGAGCGAGGGCTGTGCTCCACCTGCTGGGTCTTGATTTGTGTTTCTTTGACCCCATAGTTCCGGGTGATCTTTGTTTGTGGCTTTGATCCCTGACTTTTCCTAGTTGTCGCTGGCACTGCGCCTCACACCTACTAAATGTTAATTATTATCAGTGCGCTTTATTAAACAAATTCAAAACACAACCCTGTTCTGCCCAGTCACTCTCTGAACTCGTTAGACAACCAAGATATAAGCAGCAACTCACATCCGTCGACGTTAATATAGTGAGGAAATTATATACGGAACTCTGTTAATTTGATTTAATCCACAACTTTTCCCTCACATTAAAACCATTAATCATAATTGGGTGGTGGTGGGGTGGCGGCGCCTTCCCACGGCCTGCAGCCACAGTTAGGCCGCCCCTCAGGCCTCAGCCTTCAGGCACGATGCTTGCCTCCTGCCTCATTACCCACACTTACTGTTCTTACAGTGAGCCAATTATCTGGGCGACACAGCACCTGTTAGTTACTGAATGATAGTAGCCAAGATAAATGTAACTTGTAGGTATATGATATACGAGACAGACGGTGACGGTGCTACTAGTTACACACCTGCCACTTTCAAAGTAATCAAAGGTTTCATTGTTTTAGTACAATTTGAACAACGTCGAAAACCTGGAGGATGACACCACTTGTGCATCACTGAAACTCTAAGCAAAAATACTGAACCGCTTTTGAGAAACTGCTTACACACACACACACACACAAACAAAATTAGAATTTCTGTACTATAAATCTGAGGTGGTAATAACATTCTTAGCCTTTCCTAGTTCTCTCCCACAGAAGTTACAGAACTTTATATTTACTTTATTATATTTACTGTAGTTAAAGTTTTGATGAATATGCCCCTAACGTTGAATGATTGTGCAAGTTAAAATCATTCTCAATTAAGATCTTACTGTAAGACTTGTAGAGATAATCTCGCTGCACGACACTACGGCACCACTTGTTGTAATGATGACGAGGATGTTGCTGGGTAATTATGAAACACTGGTGACGCAATAAATGGACCAGACAACTGAGCACATCACGGTCCATATAATTTGTGCTGACACGAGAGAGAGAGAGAGAGAGAGAGAGAGAGAACTGTGGTTAGTAACTCAGGGCAACTCAGTTATTAGTAATAAACCTGTCCGTGCTAGGCTTTTAGTATATACTTTGGGCAGTTGGGATAATACATCAATTATATCTAATTAAAAACTTGTAAACAATACCTTAGATTATGAAAAAAATATATTATTATTATTTTATAAGACTTAATGTTGCCTTCCTGGTGTGGTATGCTCGAGAAAAAGAGATGTTGTTCCAGTATTATTTCTTCATATTTTGGCGCGATGATTAAGACGGGAAATCCAGGTCTTCTAGTACAAGCAAGTGGGTGGAGGAAGAACTCAAGGGAGGGAGAGATTCACGAACTTCGTTTTTCAAGGGTTAACAGCAAACTGACGAGGATTAGAGAAACTATTCGTCACCTCGTCTTCTATAATGGCGGGCGTAATATCACAAGTTAGCAACGAGAATATTACAAAGAAGCTGGTAAGTAAAAACAAAAACAAAAAATCAATCGCACGTTGTCTTATTTAACTTTACGTAACTTTACCTAAACTTACCTATATAACCTAACTTACCGTTATTTATCTGACATTACCTAACCTAACTTAACCTAACCTTACCCTACAAATAACCTGTCTAATTTAATCTAATCTTACTAATATAACCTAACCTTACTTATCTAACAGCCTGACCTAACCTTACCTTATTTAACCTACGGACTTTTTTTTGCTAACGTTTTTGTTAACGTTTTGAGGTCATGGAATTTTATCATTTAGTTATCCCTTACGTTATGGAAACTCAGGTTGTGAAAATTGCCCATACAGAATTTATAAATTATGACCACTAAATTTAGGATATGACCCATAAATTCGACCAATACGGAAATGGGGAAAATAAAAAATAAACGAACACAAAAATCCCGATATGACGAAAAAAAAATCGGACATAATTTATTTGATGTGGATTTCTTGATGTTTGCTGCCACCAAGCGTGGGTTCGTAATGTACCCACACAGCTGGACTCCGTTTGTTAATAATTATCTCCCTGTGTATAAGATCCCTGGACCCCAGTTCTTGGATTTAACACTTCAAGACTGTCCAGTGCATTACCCTTTTTCAAGATGAGTGGAAGGAGGCCATCAAGTGTAAGTGAAAGCAGTGGTGATAAAAGTGACCGTAAAGGAATTATGTTCGATATAAAACTAGATGTGTTATGGAGTTTGATGCAGAAGAATAACTTAGCCAAATTGCAAAAACATTAAGGCTTGCTATGTCTCCCCACAATATCCATTGCACCATCTCACCTCACGCAGCACTCAACGTCGTTTGTGGTGAGTTAAATTCAAGTGTTCAGTTTATTTATTATCATTATAACATAAGATACTCGTAATCAATGTATGTGTTTAAAAATGGTTATTTTCAATCATAAAAGTGCTTGTACAGTCACCCAAAAAAGTCCTGTCGCGAACCACGAACCCCGAGATTCAGACTCGTGAACCCGAAGCAGTAGACACTGATACATTATTCTGTCCATAAATGCTTCGGATTCAAGAGTCTGAATCTCGGGGTTCGTGGTTCGCGACAGGACTTTTTTGGGTGGCCACTGTATTACTTTTTTTTTTCGAAAAAGTTTCCTTTGGAACGCATCTCCAATATTATTTTATAATGGAAATAAGTGGGAAAATGTGGTTTACGTTACGGTCAACTTTTCAAAGACGTATCCCTTCGTAACCCGGGGATTACTTATAATACTAGCGGTGTTATGTTGTCTTATAGGAAAGAGCCAGGTACCATTTTCTCCGATAGGGGTCTGTCTGTGTTGACTGTGGATTATATTTGGATATCTGTGAGGCGCTAACCTGGATAACAGCTGAGTAGTATATACAGAGCTCGACTCCTGTCCTAAAGTTCGCGTTCAGGGCCAAATGCAGTTTTTTGGTCACTCTGCCACGTTGTGTGCCGGAATATGGGTTTTAGTTCTCCAAAGTCCAAGTTACATTTTATATTCAGAAAATCTTCACAATGCAACTCCAGGTGAATGACGTCATGTGCGTTTTACACCTGAGGCGAGGACTGAATACTGGGGATAAAGGAGGTCATTTTGTAAAGAAAATGTAGTATTAAAATTGTTGAGTAATAGCATAGGAGAGATGAAGAGTGTGTAAAAGAAAATAAATATGAAGTCAGAGAGTATCAGAGGCTCCG